CACCAATAACCTGACCAATACATGGCTCAACAGTGCCCCCCCCACCCCATCACATATGTGAGGTCTGCCCAGAAGTTAAGCCCCCCCACCTTGATCTTGCCTTTTCTATTACAGTGGCACTTGTGAGTCCGGGCAACAGTGATTCAAAGACACTCTGAGGGCTCTGAAGCACAGAAATAATCTGCCCCCCTCCAGGTCCCGGTTAAAACCCAACCTGCGCCCCCCCTCGGTGCAGCTGTGTCCTCAGATCAACAGGTAATCTTGTGTTTCTCTTGGAATGGCTCCGCTCCCCAGCTCTGTTTTATTGTGTTTTTTTTTGTCGGTCAGGTGCCGGCAGTCCAGTCGGAACAGAAACCGCACAGGCTGTGACAGAGAGCAATTTTGACTACATCATGAAAAGCTGTCACAGTAAAGACCATGCAGTCAGTAGGAAATATATTAATGTGGTATTTGTGTGGTATTTAAATAACGGCGCTGCGTCTCATTTCAAATATCTTTCTGTATTTCCACCGAGAGATACGGCAATTCATAATTCATGCCAATAGGGACGTGATACACTTTTACTTCACTTTGTACTGACAGATTAATTTGACTCAAGGCAGGAACCTACTTTTAATAAAAATTCAGCCTGGCGTTTATACTGACAAGAACTTGGTAATTTTCAGCAAACTCTACTTTACTGGGTAACCTTATTTGCTGCATGGTGTATTAATTAGAATTGCGCTGGGTGACGACTGTCAGCCTTTGGCACTTAGTTTCTGAGATGGAGTCTCTCGTAATTCTGCATAAACTTCAAGTCACGGGCCACAAAACTCTAGAAAATCAATAAGGATAAACAATTCCGAGGGACACATGCTACTTCGGATGTTGGCACTTCACAGGGTTTTAATACATTAATCTTCGATTTCCCAGAATGCAAAATGCCACAGTGACGGCTCGCCGGCAGGGACGTTTTGTCTTTGGGACGTTTCATCGGCGCAGACCTCACTGATGCTTTTTGCAGATCGAGGCACAGAGTCCTTTTCCTAACATTGCTGCTAAACTGTGCGCACAGCTGTCGAGGCTCTTTCAAAAAGTGAAAGTCTGCCTTTCAAATCATTTAAAGGCAGGTGTTACAGTAAGGTACAGATCAAAAACACACATTTGCGGATAAATTGCGCCACCTGCTGGTTGTGTCAACCAGAAAAATATTGATTTATTGAACTTAAATGTTTCATCCGCTTTTTAAAAAGCAATAGCAGTTGTATAATTGAATTAAATTATAATTTTGCTACCTGAGCAATATAAATGTCAGATATCTGCATTATTTCTCATTTTTGTCACTGATTAAATAAAAGCAACCAAGACAAGCAGTTGGAAGATGGAATTGGGTGGAAGGAAGTTAAAATTGCACATTATCATGTAAAACTGAAATCTTTGGTTATATCCAGGAGTACTTAAGCAAACAGTGTTGATAAACACTACATATACACCGATCAGCTATAACATTAAAACCACCTGACTAATATTGTGTAGGTCGTCCACATGCTGGCAAAATATCTCTGACCCATCGATGCAGGGACTCCGCAAGACCTCTGAAGGTGTCCTGTGGTTTCTGATACCAAGACTTTAGCAGCAGATCCTTTAAGTCCTGTAAGTTGCGAGGTGGGGGCTCCATGGATCGGGCTTGTTTATCCAGAACATTCCACAGATGCTCAATTGGATTGAAATCTGGGGAATTTGAAGTCAACACCTTTACTCTTTTTCATGTTCCTCAAACCATTCCTGTGTGACAGGCCATGTTATCCTGCAGAAAGAGGCTACTGTCCTCGGGGAAACCATTCCCATGAAGGGGTGAACTTGGTCTGCAGCAAAGTTCAGGTAGGTGGTACGTGTCAAAGTAACATCCACATGAATGCCAGCACCCAAGGTTTCCCAGCAGAACATCACCCAGAGCATCACACTGCCTCCACTGACTTGCCTACTTCCCATAGTGCAACCCGGTGCCGTCTTCTCCCCAGGTAAACGACGCACACAGCCGGCCATCCACATGATGTAATGGAGAACATGACTCCTCAGACCAGGCCACCTTCTCCCATTGCTCCATGGCCCAGTTCTGATGCTCACGTGCCCATTGTAGGTGCTTTCGCTGGTGGACGGGGTCAGCATGGCCACTCTGACCTGTCTATGGCTCCACAGCCCCATATGCAGCAAGCTGCGATTCTCTGTGTGTTCTGACACCTTCCTGTCATAATTAGCATTAACTTTTTCAGCAATCTGTGCTGCAGTAGCTCTCCTGTGGGATCAGACCAGACGGACTAGCCTTCACTACCTAAGCACATCAATGAGCTTGGGGCACCCATGACCACATCACCAGTTTACCAGTTGGCGTCTTTTAGACCACTGCTGGTAAGTACAGGCCACTGCATACCAGAACATCTCACAAGACCTGCCGTTTTGGTGATGCTCTGACCCAGTCACCTACCCATCACAATTTGCCCCCTGTCAAAGTCGCTCAGATCCTTACACTTGCCAAATCATCCTGCCTCCAACACATCAACTTCAAGAAGTGACTGTTCACTCATCAAGGGTGACGTTATATATTAAATGAGTGCCATAGTAACGAGATAATCAATGTTAGTTGCTTCACCTGTCCGTGGTTATAATGTTATGACTGATTGGTGTTTAAACTTAGTGAACATATGGTTTGGATTTGGGTCCTTAGCTCTGTCCATTAATGTTATGAAGTTTCAAGTTACTTAGAAAATACGTTATTTTTAATTACTGAAGCAGTGATACTGTGAGAAGGGAAGTGGAAGGATCAGTCACTTTTCCGACGTCAGGGTTCAGCCGACTTCACGGCGTGAGACTTCACTAAGAAATGACAAGCGGGAAAATACACAAATCCAACAGATATATCCACAGGGAGGATGTAGTGGAATGATTTTTAGTTTTATCTAAAATTTTACAGTCATTCAGTCTCAGGTGGAAAATTCTAATTAATAGCAGCACCCCGTAACATCTCTGAACATGTTTTTGTTTTTGTTTTTTGTTTTTTTTTTGGGGGGGGGTGGGGTTATAGACATGTAATGTTTATTCCACATGAGGTTTTGTTATACCAACCAGCAGAACAAGAACAATTCATAACAGTTTCGGTTTTTTACTTTATGAACCATTTAATAAATCAGAAACGCAAAGTTGCCAGAGGGTGGCGCTAAAACCCCGACAACATTGCTTGGGCAATAGTTTTACAAGTCAACACTAATCCACTAATAATTGCTAGTGGCCATTATTGGGATTTATAAAGTTGCAATTGTAATTAATCAAGCCCAAAATAATCATGAAAAAAGCGCCATTATTGCTGTTTAACACAAATGGTTGCTTGGTCCGAAGCAATTAAACAAAGTATGGACAGTAGCCAAGATATGTTTGCAGTCGTTGAAAAGCCTGGATAAGGAATCAGGGACTGGATTACTTAAGGGGTTCGTTCTTAAATTTCCCCGATAAGAGTAATCGCATCGTAGTACCCAAAAGAGCAATCATAAATATTCTCTTTATTGTATATTTTGTATTGTTCTATTGAAGCTTTCAACATTTACATACATTTTACTCATAGCACAACACTTTATTTTGTTGAAATCCTGGCATTTTGGATTATGTTGTTTATTTTCAGCTCAACTCAAAGTACTTTTACAGGAAAGAAAGGAAAATATGCTGTATATGGGCAAATACCATTTCCTGTCATCCGAAATCTCTGCTTACTGAGCTCATGTCTGAACGCTCAATGCGGCCATTGTTAAATATATCTAATATCCACTTCAAAATGTAAACATAATTTTCATGTGCTGGAAACCCAACCAAAATAGCTTTTCGTCTTTTTTTATTTTAACATTGGCGACAGGAAGAAGCCATTATGGTTTTCCTGACACAACTGGTGTCTGGTATTATAGCTGGAAAGAGACCAGTTACAACGGTGCTTCCGTTCCTGTGTGGTCCGCATGGCATGACTTGCGGCGCAGCCGAGCGCTGTATGTCAAGTCGTGTTTATGAAACACATCGGTGGAGTAACTTCCAAGGCACCGATTACAGTGCACTGTCATTTGCAGTTTTCTCTCGTACTGTAGCTGCATCCTTCATTATGCAGAAAAGCCTCCTGTCCGGTGGGGTTGGTGTGAGTATGGAAATAGGAGGATCAAGGGTTTTTCTGGCACGTAGCCAGTTGGTGTTATTGAAAAAAACGGAATTTAAATAAAACATTTACAAGATTCCCCAATTATTAGTCATTGTTGTTGTAAAAACTGCACTATGACCTATTTAGTTCTCGCTGCTACACCGCACAAAGGGGTGTGTGAGGCGCGAGGGAGGAGGCTCGGGCTGTTGCGCAATAGCACGCGCAAGTAGGGACTCGTCCCCATCTTCGGCGCTGCCGCGTGCGTGGCGTTACTGCGCTTCAGACTTATTTTACACAGATGTGACCTATTTAATGTCACTAAGAGAGTCGGCCGCTGTCTCCAGTGAACCCATCGAGCTGGAAAACAAATAATTAGGGGTAATATAATATAAGTCCGAAAAAAACAAGCGGATTATGTGATTTGGTCTTTTTTGGCTACATAGAAAATGTTTAACTTTGATAAACAAGGAACTAAAAATCAAACATTCGTGTACAGTAGTTCCGAATATGGTGTTGGTTTGCTCATCGTATTAACAGTTCTCTTTTCTCATTAAAAGCAATTAATGTAATGTAATTTACTTACACACTGCTGATCCCTGTCGATTATTTGCTACATTTTTACCACAGCATCTAAGTTAAATGTACAACAACCAGTAAAATTATTAGTTATAGTTTTTAAATTATTTTGTAAATATATTGTGGTTTGAGAAATACTATAGGCATTCCACACGAGATACTTGCTGTACTACGTAATAATTCGGGAATAAAAGAAAACAAATAAGCAGATAAACAAATGCAGGAGTGGCTCCCCCTGGCGGCTGATACGAGCCCGCTGGCAGTCCGGGAAGCCCCGCCCACCAGGGCTGGTTAGCGCCTCGCCTCTCCGCTTCGAGATGCGCCGCTTCGCCGGGGAGTGAAGGAGGGCGGTGAGTGTGCTGCCGATCGGCCAGCGTGAGCCGCGACCCGGCATAGGCGATGATGGCGGCCGCTGTGGACAGAGGAGGGGTTCGGGCCGCCTTCCTAAACCCTGGCAGCGGCGGTGGCGTCGGACCCGCTCCGGCGACCGTCCCGGCTGGACCCGGTGCGGGAGCGGGAGCCGGAGCCGCTGGCTTCGGTTCGAGCGGCTCTGGCCCGATACCCGTACCAATGAACCTTTTCGCAACCTGGGAAATAGATCGATCTTCTCCAAGCTGTGTCCCGAGGTAGAGTATAAATATTTTTTCCTGCATGCTGCTACTTTATTTTAATTGCACACTTCCGAGTCGCTGGTTACTTTTTGTGCAGAGTGGAGTTTTAATTTGCAGAGCATGTGCGGCTGGTAAATAACATGGGTGGGTTAGTCCCCTTGTCACATCCATAATCCGCCTGTCATTTCATTGTGTGCCTTTTCAGTTTCGGCAATGGACATCTTATTGTCCTTTGCTTAAAAACCCCGTCACTGCATGCTGTCGCTCTCACGGTTTATCATGTTTATAATGGATTTCAGTGTCTCTAGCTATGTGGGAATGTCTCTCCCGTTATAAATCCTTTCGAAGTACTTTGTAAACAATATACCCGCTGGATGCCAGGAAATATTGAACTGTGCCGTTCTTCAGCATTCTCTGGGAGTGTTTGTTGTTTTTTTGTACAGAAGGCAGGGCTGCCTTTTCTAACTATTTTTTCGTTAAAAATGGGATCCCGCAAAACTTTGTATCCTGTTCTGCCAGATCCCCATTCTCACGCCGCGGTGATGAACGTAGACGTTTTAAGTTAAAATTATTGAACAGCCCTTTAAGTAATTGAGCAATTTAGTAGCTGTAATTACTACGATGTCCTTAAGTGTAATAAACATCACCTGTCACGAGTGATTCTCTACTAGGAAGAGTTTTTTAAGTTCTTGGCATATTATGCTCAGATTGAAGTAATTTATGGTGAGTCAACCAGGAGATATTTTAGTATATTTCCATTTTTAGGTAGTAGTTATTGTACTGGTGTCTGGCGTCTTTGGCCATCTTTGGTTTACTCTAGTGTGTAGGTGAACTTTTGACATTCGAGCTGTTTAGAAGGTATCATCGATGGGATACGTAGTTTTGAACTGAATTAATTTTGAGTTACTTGGACTTTTCCGTGTTGACAACGGACTGATATAGGACTTGGTGGGTATTTCTTCCTTGAAGATGGTTGCATACCATCTGGCTGGGTAATGAGGGTTGAGTCTATTGTCCCGCGGTTGACAGGCACTTTGCGTTACGGCTCACGGGAGCATCCTTATTACAAAGCAATCTGCTTGGTAAAGTGCGGCTGTCTAAAAATCCAAGAGCAAATGTCAGGTGGATGAAATCAGAAACCCTTTGCATTTACCAAATGTCACGCTGTTTTAACAGAGAGGTATTTGCCGCGTGCTGAGGTTTTGTACACGCGATCCTTCCCCTCCACTCCAGTTTACGCTTTTCTGTGCCATTTCCAGTCTTCCGTTGACCTTAAAGCAGCTATTCCTGTAATAACGGATTCTGTTTCTTTCCATGGTGAAGGGTGGTTATTAAGAGAGAAGAAATGTGCTTTTATTGTCTGGATTTCCCTGGACTTTTGTGCGTTACCATCGCATAAAAAAAAGAACCGATATGTGTTTGTGGTATATTGGTTTAGTACACAATGCATTAATGCTATGGGTAATTCGGAAAGCGGACAGATTCATTTCATCCTATAAATATTACCATGTTTGTTTATTTGCTTGTTTGTCTATCTGTTTATTTGGTACTAGTCAGGTTAAGCAGAATCTTTAAATGCATTTGTTTACTTATAAAACAAATAAGCTACCTCAAGCTTATTTAAAGTTCCTTATTCAGCTGTACTGCTGAACTATTTCTGGGACTTGAACAGGCATACTGTTTGGTCCAGTTTAACTACAATGCTAGCGGCTTATCTGGGTTATCAGTCAGAAATTTCCTCCAGAGAGGGTAGGTCAATATTCTGTCGGTGTCATGAGTTACTCGCAATTTATTCTGCACAACACTTGGCGATCCCTCTAGGACTTCTCGGTGATCCCGTCGTAGCCAGCAAGACCTCCCCATCTGCGCAGTGCGCTCATTTCTGTCTTGGCCAACTCCTCTACCAACCCAGCCCCACGGGCCAAGGCTGCATTTTCTGGAAATTGGTGTGTGGGTATGTTAGCTGGCAGTATTTTACTATGCAGCCTGGGAGCGTTTCATGACATCGCAGTACAGAGGTGCACTTGAAGCGTCACGGCTCTGACCTCGTTGATGATCTACAGCTCCAGCCCTCACCTCACGTACCTCACCGTAAACTCTTGACGGGTGTCTCAACCAGCATGTTTTCTTTCTACCTAGAAAAGTTCCTGCGCGGCAAAAGACGCCATCTGTCAGCACACATACCTGGCCATCTTTCTGTCTAAGATCCCCACCAGCATCACACACAAAGCCCTGTCTTTTGATGTCTATGATGACCGTGATGATGTCATGGGAACTTTTTGCTAAGCCTGTCAGTTAAGGTGCCCAAATGTTGATCACCACAGTGTTTGGTTCCAGGCAAAATCTGACCTTTTCTGGCAGTGGGTGGGAACGTGATCTGTCATGCACGTCAGTGGAAGGTGGTTGATTGACTCGAGCATATGACCAATCTGGAAGACTGTATAATCTGTTACTATCTGTTATTGGATTTTAATTGGTTGGCAGCTCTCGCTAGGTTCGATGGCCGGCATGTTAATGGGGTCATGTGGTGTTTGGCCAGTCAAAGAGACAGAGCATGGGATAGGAAGGATGAGGGGTGCAATACCAGTCAAAAACTGCGCGTGCCAAGCCACCTACCACGTTACGTCACATGACCTGGCCACCTGACCTAAGCACAGTAGAAATTAGTTTTGGAGGAGTTTGACAAGAGAGTGAAGGAAAAGCGGCCAATGAGGGCTCAGCATATGTGGGAACTCTTTCAGGATAGGTGGAAAAGCATCCCAAGGGGCCATCTTATGAAATAGGTGTGGATGAAACATAGGGTCAGCATGTCCCTGGAGCAATTAGGGTTAAGGGCCTCGGTCAGGAGCCCAATGGTGGCATCACTCTGCCAACCGAAGGATTTGAACCAGCAACCTTCTGGTCCCAATCCGCACAGCCTGCCCCTCCAACAAATTATTTTTCTTTTAATACTTTTTTGGTTAGTGCATAATTCCATATGTTATTGTATAGTGCTGATATCTTTTCTAAAATGTAGAGAATAGAACAATTAAGCCTTTCCATGGGTGGGTGTGTCCAAACTTCTGACTGGCACTGCACATGTGAAAAAGCTAATCTCAGCTAATGTGACCCATAGAGGGACCTGGGTTGAGGTCCCAGACAGTTTCTCCAAGAGCAGCTTGCGGAGGGTTTGCATTTGTCACCCACTATTGCTCAGAGTTCTCCATAATACCTCCAGCCCTGGGATTCTGGGCTATCCAGCTAAAATGGATCTTATCACGCACTAACCGGCTGCTACCGTGCTCGTCTGTGATGATATTAGGGTGAGTTGTTTCTAATATTGTAACGTCGCTTCTAGATCCTTCTTTTGGGACAATTATGTCAATAAAGGCACTGGATAAAAAGCATCCCTTACTGGTGGGGACTTTGTGACACATGCGGCTTAATAAAGATGAAATAAACAGGCTTTTAACTGCTTGCTGATTGCACCAGAAAGATCCGGCTCTTGCCCATAGCCAATTACATTATAAATGTGTAGATCTGAACTACCCCCACCCCCCGCCCCGGATGATCAGTCGTCTTTGATGCCTTTGTTCATCCCGGACAGCTTAGTGGCTGCCCCGAGACCCTTTGAAACTGATTAAGATGGAGCGAAGGAGAGCAGTAACACCAGCCGTATCGCCGTGAGGTGTCACCCCTCCTCACTCCTTCGGGGTGGGTGGGAGGGGGGTGGGGGTTCTGTGGAGTTTTGTTTATTGCTTTTTAATGACTGTGCCAGCCTTATTGTGATTTGTAGGATCATAACCCGGGATTCTCCGAGTTCCAAGCTCATACGTCATGCTCCTGTTAGGCGCTTTAAGGGCGGGGTGGGGGGGGGGGGGGGGGGGATCCAGCCCAGGGACATGCTGGGTATACCATTGCTCGGGTAATGGGAAAGGGCCCCCACCCACACATCTGCCCTGAGCACTGAGAGATGAAAGTGCTGGAGATTGTCCAGAGAAGCTTATCATGAAAAAAAAAACAAATTACAGTTCATTTTAGCTCTGCCTATTCTTCAGCTGGCTCTTCTTACCCATCTATCCATCCATCCATTCATCCTCCATACCCATTTCTCCATGATATGATGCGTTATGAGGTCATCAGGGGCTAGAAGCCTGGCCTCAAACAGCTCAGAGAACTCTGCCTGAGTCCATCACCCAGATCCTTCTAGGTTTTTTAGTTACATTTCATATTTGACCATATTCACTGTGCAGAGTTAGACGCCGTTTCCACCTTGGGCACCTTTAACGGCCGTTTGATTGCTGCTCCTCTGCGTTCTGTCTTTACAGCATCTTTGTCTTAAGACACGTGACAGGATTTAAGCCCAAGAGCCTGATGCCGTTTAAGGCTTCGCCTGTAAGCCGTTTACCAGGTTAGGTGAACCTCGCTGAACTGGCCTTGAAGGACCTCTCTGCAGTTTTCACATTAAGTGGAGAAGTGCTGGTTATACCATTCTTCTGAAATGGATGAAGAATCCAGAAAATGGAAGTGAATGCTTTTAAATTCAATTAAGTTAATATTGTATTTGGGCCAGGACATTTCAGGATTTGGCAGGACAGACAGATCCACGTGTCAGGCTAAGTGAGCAAAGGCAACATCCAAGATGGAGCAGCACACAGCCATAGGGAAACCATGCAGCACTTTTAGTCTACATCCTTAACGATTAATAACCAATCAGCAATGTGTGGAGGGACTGTTTCCTAGCCCCCAGTACTTCCATGCTTACCCCCCAGCCTCACGGAAATATAGCTGGTACCAGTGCTGGCCCAAACCACCCTCAGGCTGGAGCTGGGAGGAAGTCTAGCGACGGCCAGACCACAGGCGATCGTGACACTGCACGCACTGGCGAGACACTACCCCAAGACATAGTGACACTGCATCAGATCCTTGGCCTGCTCCTTAACAGCCACTCCCCCTGCTGGCCATCTCCGTGAACTGAAAGCCGTACGCTTTGGGGTTATCGAAGGCCGGCTGGGCCTTATCAGCCTGATCTTGGC